AAAATTGGCGCTGCTTGCGTTCACGTGGAAGGCAATGACGTCATATCCCATCACGATCAATGGACAAATTGTCTGCTACACCCTCATACATAGGTTTTGGGGGTCGTCATTGATTGAAATCTTTGCTGGAGTCCCCATGAGGCCGCTCTAAAGAAGTGCCTAACAGGCATCTAACAGGCAAAGTGGGGCTCGTCAGTACACGCAATGTTGCAGCTATACAGAACGTTGTACCTGGGGTACCTGCGGTATACGGCTTGCCTATTTTGACGAACGCCTGCAAAAGCAGCATACGTGCAATCGAAAACGCTCAGGGCCAGGCACACACAGTTTGTCTATGGCTACTACGCTGCACAACCCCAGCGGAGACAATCGATCATCCGGCCTGAGTGCACATTACTCTAGAGGTGCTTCGAGCGCATATTAGGCACCTTTCTCGCGCCCCTGCCCACCACCTCGCTTCGCTTCCAGAATACCGACCGAGTGCCTCCTTCTGTAAGATAATATTGAATTACCGCTAGTTTCTTCCAGCAGGCCACGCACCTCCAGAACGTATCCTGACAACCCCTTGGTGTTCGGACCGTCCAAACCTACGCTTGACAGTGCCAGTAATTCGCAAGAAGGTGGATCTATCGACACCAGCTGTGAAGCATCTGACTCTACATATGCTGCAAGAAGAATACAAACACCACGTTAAACTTTATACGGATGGTTCAACAAATGTTAGAGGATCTGCAGGAGCTGTGATCTTCTCAGCAAAAGCCGATACCATCAATTTCGAACGTCTCAAAAAACAACATAGCCGCAGAGCTCGCAGCACTCCACTGTGCACTTCGCAGGATTGATCAAGAAGCACCTCTAAATTGGTGCATTTTCACCGATTAGAAACCAGCTGTGTATTGTATTCGAACTGTGTGTATACGTCGTAGAACCCATGACCAATTGGTGCAAGAAGACAACTATATCAACAAGTACTACAGTATGGATATGATGTAACTTTTCAATGGTTACCAGGCCACTGTGGAATCATCGATAACGAGCATGCCGAGAAAGCAGCAAAGAACGCTCACGAAAATGGCATGATAGATCTCATTCCACTGTCAAGAAGTGACGCAGCAGCAAAGATTGATACGCTCGCGCACGATGTTGCCAGGCCTCTGTGGAACACGCCCGGATTTCTCCACACCCGTCTTCACCCTCTAGATCTATGCCAACGACTTACCATTCCATCTGGTTTATCCAGATCTGAGACAACCGTTCTGTGGCTTGGGTTGACTTACACGAACGCCTTTGCTTGCCGCATCGAATGGGCAGACAGTGCTGCGTGTGATCATTACGGCGCTGACGAAACAATAGAACATATTTTGTGTCAGTACCCTCAGTACAACTGTCAGAGACAGTCCCTGTCATTAGTGTTTGCACGCCTCGATGGGCAGCCGCTTTCCGAGAAATTAATTTTGGAATGCCGGAAAGATCTAGCTTCACGCCAAAAGGCGACGAAGGACCCCTTGATGTTTTTTGCGATCGACCCGCCCTGCGAGCGATTGTGACATTCTAGTGTGTGTGTGTGTGTGTGTGTGTGTGTGTGTGTGTGTGTGTGTGTGTGTGTGTGTGTGTGTGTGTGTGTGTGTGTGTGTGTGTGTGTGTTTTCGGTTCCCTCCCACTCTTTCATTCCCTTTTTCTTACTTTTTTGTCTCCCATTCCCCCCCCCCTAATGCAGGGTAGAAAACCACATACTTGCTAACCGGTTAACCTCCCTGCCTTTCTTCATACCTTACCTCTCTCTCTCTCCTCGGTCGTGTCCCAGCTGGATGATTAAGGCCACGTGCCATGGAATGGCGTAACTGCTGACACCGAGCACAAGAGCAGTGCAAGGAACGTGTCGCGGACAGTTTTCTTGGGGCATTTCGAGTTCGGGGAAGAGCCACACGTGTAGCATTCGGCCCCCGGGTCCGTGGCCTTGGAACATCGGAAGCGCATTTCCCTCAACGGCCATAAAACACGTGCACCAGTAGTTGTTTTGCGTGTGCATGTATATATGCAAGTGTGTAGCAAGGATTGAGGGACCCTGAAGTACATTCAGTCGCCAGCGAACCTTTTTAGCTGCGCGGACGTTCTCTGTCAATGAATAAGTTCAACCGGCCTTGTTTCACCGTCTGTTGTTTCACGACTTAATCCGTCGAGTCGTAGGGACGCCACAGAACGCTTAGCAGGGCAGTGCGAAAGTGCACAGGCGAAGAAGAGTGGCACGGGCGTCAACCACTTCTTTCGAATGGTTGGTGGGCTGCAGGGATATGTTGGTGCGTGCCACTTTGAACAACGTGGAGACACGATCCCGTGCACGTGACTGACAAAGCGACTCACTTTCGTGCACGAATGTGTGGTTCTCGCGACCGGGCCTAAAGTGAACGAATGCGTCAGTGAAGCCTTGTTCTTGAAAACCTTCGAGCTGTGAAAATGGAAGCCAGAAAAGGTAATACTACCATATATGGTGATTTTCTATGTTGTCATACAAAGATACCGGTGTCTCTCTTACGCTTGACACATATTGTCTTATCGACGGCGGCCAATGGCGTTCTCAGTATGCATTCTGTAAAAAGCCTGTTGTTTAGGGAGTATGTAAATTGCACGTCTTTTGTTTGTTCTCTTTTGGGCAAAAATCACTCGCGTCATTCTGCCATTAGTAGCAGTCACACACCCTTTTTTTTTACCTTTATATACGTCGTCTCCATTATTCAAACGCAGAATCGTTAGATTAGTCGAGTGAAAATTGTTATTCTGTCCGCAGACGCAATCAACCCCGTAGTAGTATGTGAAAGGGATTTGTAGGCTAGCGGCGTTTATACACAAACCATGCTGCTGTTTCCTTTTGTCCACCATCTTGTTACGTTTACGTCCTACATATTTTCTTGCGCGCTTGTGTTGTGTCCTCCTTCTCCTGCGTCCAGTCTTCGAGCTTGTTTCTTTTTATTCCTGAAAACGGTGATTGGTATAGTTTGATCAGCCTAGATGCAGCAAATCCCGCCTAGATGCAGCAAGCCTTGCCCCGTGGCGATTGCTCCGAACGCGATGGAAAACGTCATCACGTTTGCTCGCTCACGTGACAGGAGATTGTGACACGAGCCGCTAACGAGCGAGCCGCTAACGAGCCAGCCTCCCTGCAGCGTCCTGCGGAGTGAACGTTCCGTTGCTGAGCTTTCTTCCTGCGTCGTGGAAACTCAGGGCGTGAGACTCGACGAGGACTTTGACACTGTATGTCTTCGCACATTGGATTAAACCATTCGGGCTGCTAAGTCATCACCTACAGACTTTTTACCGCCCGCCCGTGATTCAGTGCATTTAAATAGTGGTTGACATTATATGGTGAGCTGGAAATGCAGTTTGAACTAGCGATGCTACCTGGCTTTTTCGCTAAGCGCGTTCGGTTTTCACGTCGGGTTCCGGCCACCTTCTGAAGATATTCTGGAAGTGCTGGTCCGGTGGACACACGTTGTGACCACTTTGACTGACCAATGGGTGACCAATGACTGACCAAAGCGCCATCTCTCGTCGGCCACAGTGCTGGAGGCCTGCCGTGACTGAATAAGATATAGGCGAAAAACATCGTATCTGACTAAACAAGATCTCACGCGTCCGATGCGTTTAGGAAGGTCGCTGATTCAGTGTCTGCCCTCGGCAAGTTATCTTTCGTTCATTACACTTCTAATAACGCCTCTTTTACTTTCCTTGGAATTACTGTCTGTTAGATGTTCGAAAAGGAGCCTGCAAATGTACATTTCTCGCGTTTTATATATATATATATATATATATATATATATATATATATATATATATATATATATATATATATATATATATAATCAAAACTGACTCCCGGTTCTAGTTAGCAAAGTCTTAAATAAACATCCTGTCAAATTTACGGTGTCGCCCTACAAATCGCGTGTCTTCTTAGAGTGTTTAGGGAGTTTTAGAATAACGTTTGCAGGTGTTGCGTGTGTTGCTTTAGTTCCGGGCGCCATATGAGTTTTAGAATAGCGTTTGCTCTACTAGGGAAAAGTCTAGGTACTTTCACCCCGGCCGCGAACCCAAATGCAAAGAAGCTACACACAGCACTTCGCGGGCCGCACACGCCGCCCGCTATTTCGGATTTTCTGCGGGTGGGCCGCGAATAACGCGAACGGCGGCTTGAGTTACGGCGCATGCACAGTATATAGCAGCAACCTCACCGCAAGGGCTCGCGGTGCGCAATTCTAAAACTCCCTTGTGTTATATTACTGTGGGATCTTCTATATGTTTCTATTGGGCAATGCTCAATTGTCCTAGAAAGGCGCACGATTTGTAGCGCGGTACTGCAATCTTACCAAAATGTACCAGTGCGTATGTGCTACATATAACCTGGAGTTTTCGATAACTAGATTTTTTTCGATTATTAAGTTGTGGCAGACCGCTGAGAGGCGTCCCGAATTCTCGCGAATGTCGTACATTGGTTTCTTTTAGTAAATCAACGCGATTCACGTGCACCCAGTAGCAAATGGGACGCGAAACGTTCGCGGTGGCTATGTTCTTGTTTTGTATGGGTGCAAATAAGTGCAGCCTATAATACTCCGCCGGCTGGAGGCAACGTGCCGTAAGCGTTCTTTTTTTTTCTATTTTGTGCACATGTGTACCTATTTGTGTGGCCGTTATCTTCGGTGGTAACGCTCTAAGCGAACTTGACGATATAGTCCAACACTAAACATAAGGAAAAGATTGCGCTACTCGAAGCATTTCAAGGAAAATGATAAGCGCTTCTGCAGCGTAATAATATTCACGGTGTCCTGCACATTTAGAGGTCTCGGGTCGAACCGCAGCCGCAGTTCGTTCAAAGATATGTGAAGGTAAGATCGATCGTTTGTTTCGAACTAGGGGACCAACTTTATGATAACTTTGGCATGCGAACGAAGAGATGCAAATGTTCCGCTTGGCGATACAGGCGTTCTCATATGACCATTCGTGTTTTGCAGCGAGCATGCGTCCTGCGGCGCAGCCCCTGGGGCCCCAGCAGCCGAGCCGTGGTGGGCGCTGAGCGTGGTCATCGCCGCCGCCTTTGTCACCACGGCTGCCCCCTGCAGGCCCCTGCCGGCCGCAGGCACGGACCGACCGTCGTCGGGGCGCCTTGCCGCTGCTGCCGCGGCCGCCGCCGCCGCCGCCGCCGCTGGTGAGTTGTACAGAGCCGCTCTGCTTTGCAGCCGTGCATGCAGCTTGTGTAGCATCAAGCCGAACAGTCCTCCTTGCCTGCTCTTACTTACTGCACATATCGAAACATCTCGTATATGAATCATCTGTGTGCGTGCTATGCGATTTATCGATATATATACACCAATCGAATTAATCGCCATGCTGCGCCGGAACGGTTGCACGCAGTGTCTTCCACGCTCGTCTCACTCAACAGTCACCGAGTAACCGCGAGGGCGTAGTAAAAATTGGCTATATCGTTACCGCGTGAAAATGATTTTCACGTGTCTCGGGAATATCGTCTTTGCCACTTTAAAAAGCACGCATAGCAGCATACCAAAATTTGCGCAATGAAATGCTCCTACAGAAAAAAAAAAAACGTATGTTGTAGAGCAACGAAAACATGTTGGGGTGAATAAAAATGCAACAAGTGGGTATTTTTTTTGTTGCCATCTAGTAAACAGTGCAATAAAATACGCTATATGTGCAAATATATTCAAATAAAATTCAGAATACGCATTTTGAATATCAATGATTCAGGAACAGCATAAAATTAATAAATGTTGTACAAAGCATTTCTATGCACATAGGCAAAGAAAATCAAAACTGAGATACTGCTTGGTTGCTCGTGACATGTGGTGAAGCATTGCTTGGTTTTTCGTTGGACACAAATGAACTCGTACACGTTTCTCAGTACTTTCTTTTTTTTTTCCGATAAGAGGCTCCAGTTGTTCCAATATAGATGAATGCCCGTGATGTGAGTAATCTCTCTATAAATTACACGTACAATGAACTCGCTACTTCGTCTAGCGTCACCTTTTTCCATGAGCCAATCACTTCGCATAGGTTGGCTTTCCTACATATACATCGAAGCATATTTTGAAGCACTTTGCGCATCGCATTAAAAAAATAACATTTTTTCGTGCTGTTCTAAATACTTTACGCGCTGCTCCGTAGTCAGGGCCAAAATGTGCTCTGGTGGCCTTCTTGTCGTTAGGAGAAGCTCTGCAGCTGGTGCCAGCACACCACTCCCCATTTAAGTGTGAACCTCGCAGGTAACCTTTGTAGCTATAAGATTGTCCACCAAGGTCAGCAGCTACGCACTTGCGGTGGAGGAGACGGCTGATGCGAAACATCGTCGCCATAAAACTTTAAGCTGAAGTGCGGTCATTCTCGATCTCACTCATTTTAGGTGGGGTTGTAAGACAGTTTCGAGCAGTGCTGCTGCGCATCAATGTGCGTGTGACGACGCCATGTGAGGGACACTGGATGCGACCGTGTGTCTTATATAATGAATCAAGCAAAACCAAGGCTGTTGGAAACTGGCTGAGAAGGCCACCAAGATACTTTATACATGCCACGGACCTTCGGAAGTATTTTTCCTAGGATATATTTTCCCCGACTCCTAACAACAGCTCTCTATTGAATAGCTGGCATAAATTTCTGGCAAACATTACTGCTCAACACTGTCAAATGGTGACACTTTAATTCAATATTTGGCTTGTAAAGATTCTTTTCGTTGCAGAACTTCGATGTTACTGTGGCATAATCACAAGCGGCACGCACTTCTGTCAAGTTCGCCATCCTAGTGCATTTTCCCATCAACACACGTACATTAGTTCGCGCAAAGGCCTGTCGAAAATCACTATGTTGTCAAAAGGGGCAAATTCAAATTGATTCTGAAAGATGAGTGGCTGGACTAACTGCTAGAGTAAAGTGCTGGGTGTACGAGAAACAAATTCAACATGCCGAAATCGACAATCTATACCGTCGATCACCGGCCATCGTCTTGAATAGCGTGGTAACGAAAGAGTTAAAGGATACGCGATTTAAATTGCCTCGCCTCCGTGACGGGGGTGCGCGTTATGCATAACCCATGCCAAGGGAGCGCAGCTGTTTGCGTCAGCACCCGTCGCAATAGCTTAGTCTATGTTCGACGGTCTATGTTCGAAGGCTCCATTACCGGCCACGGTGGTGGAAGCGGAGCACCTTGTGATTTAAGTGTGCCATGTGGTCTAAATTTATTCACTGTGGCATACCTCAGAACCATATCTTCATTGCCATTATTTGCCGAATTGGTTAGCGCCGAAACAGCGCTTTGTCAACACGACGATAGTGTGTGACGCACTCGTTCAAGGGTCGTTCGCTTCCGTTCCCTGATAATGAAGGACGTTGCATGCTTCTAACGTCAATCCAACGTCGCTTCAGAAACATAGGACACTCAGCAAAGCGAAATGCGGGTACAATGCCAAAGATTTTTCAATTTATTTCGGCGTGCTCGCAATTTAAGTGCAAGTGAGCGTCGCACGACATTCAGTTCGAGGCGAGCACTCCGACGTTCGTTCTGTAGGGCCTAAATGCGGTAAATTCGGGCGTATACATTGATGTCGAAGCGATTAAGTACATACGCGAGCAGTTTATCTTACGATGAATGGTACGAGACATGAATAGCCTCGGTGATTCTCGCTTTTGCAGTTGCATTCTCCACCCATTTCTCGTTTTTTGTGCGTTTAACTGTTTTATTGCGTGTCCTATAGAGTTCTGTTGACGGTTGCCTTCCGTTTGTATACTGCAAATGATTCATGCATGGTGCCTACTTTCTCGGTGTACAACGAAAGGCAAGACCGAGGCATGCGAGACAACTGCGGCTATCGCGGATATACCAACGGCAAGAAAAACGTTATTGTGGTCTCGACTAACATTTAGCGATTTACCTGTATGACGTCTATGTTAGCATTTCCTATTGTTAAAGCTGGAACTCAGAGCCTCCAATGGCTACGAGCGTGATGGTGTATGGCGGCAACCACTTCACAATATCCGTGGTCGCGGCTTGTGCGATGTTTGTCGTGCGTGTCACTCTGCATTTAACATGGCGCGCAGCGCGGCCAGATGTGTTGCTGGGCTTTATAAACAAAGGTACCACGGTCAACGCTACTGAGAACAATAATAAGAGACCTACGTTATCACACTTTCTCATTCGACTGGCTGTGGATAAGGCGAGTAGTTCGCTTACCCAACGCGTTCGCAACGGCTTGTCTCGGCGTTCTGCTTCGTAACAGCTACGTAAATTGGTAAAACTCGAGTTCTTTACGTCCGTGACAATGCACAACGCTAGAGTAGCGCGCTTAACATCTTTCTTTGTAGAGCGCGGATCTCTTGTGTCTGCTCTTGCTTTCGCCGTCGTTCTGGCGAGTGATCCATGCAGCAAGCATCCATAGCGGTTCGGCGACGCGACCGACTAGCGGAGAGAAATTCGTAGCTAATGTTTTATTGTTGAATGCACAAACACACCTAATATTTAGCTCAATCGTTTCGCGCTAGTTGAGCCTGGTTGCGCAGCAAACTGTGCAAGGAAGCCGGGCTTTTCACTCCCCACAAACTACGTCGACAGGTGGCGCTACGTGTCTGCAAAACTCCAGAGTCGGACGCCTATTTAGATGGGCGAGCGATTTGAAAGGGACCTTGCGATGGCCGAATGAAACGTGCATTCGGAAAGCTCGGCGCCAAAGGGTGGTTATCGAATTGAATGACCGCGATCGGCACCGTGCTCATTGAGGATCGCCCTTTCGAGGTCGCCGCGTGCCTCGTGTGAAGTTGTTCGATTACCCCGTGTTGTGCATCTTGCCATCAGCAGCAGCCGGCCTGGTTCACATTTCGCCCCTTGAATCGGCCGCGTGCTCTCTCTCTAGGAGAAGGAGGGGGAAGGGAACGAAAACGGGCTCAAGGTTGGCCACGCGACAGCGGCCTCCTTTGTGGCGACGGCCAACTGCGCCTTCGTGTAACGCGAGGGTCGCCGCGCACAGCTGAACCACACCACAGTGCGGCCGAGTTCTGTGGCCGATAATGCACTCTCTAGCCTCGCGCCGAGGAACACCATTGTCGCGTAATATATACAGGCTTACCTTTTTTTTTTTTTATTCCCTGAGAAGCAAGTGCCAGCTCTTTCGGTGTGCAGCGAAGATTCAATGGAATGCTCGCCTGCGGTGCTGCCGGCAGACGTAATTTCGAGACTACAAGCTGCTCATAAACATCTGCTAAATCGCACTTTCCAAAAACCAAAGAACGGCGCTTCTCATTAAGCGTAAAGTAGTGTGATCATGTGCATGCGATACATCGGTATGTCCTCGCAAGCACAGTGTGGCTCAGGGACCGTTTACATGACAGTCGACTGCAAAAATATACAAACCGCGCAAGCTCGTCTCACTGGTTTTTGTACTAAACTGGGTGTCTGGAAAATCTTGTTTATTCGCTGCATAACGAGTTTTCTACTTCCGCATTTCACATTTCTGTTTCCATAACGACGTGCCTCGAGAAGTGTGCCGTTGTGCACATGGTGGCGACTGCATATATATGGTAACAGTTACACAGGTATGCAGCTTACGCTGTTCTCGAGGCAGGGCGCGTGGCGTTTGTGTCCTGCTGTGTTCTTCCTCGCGTGCTCTTCACTGGTCGTCCTTTTGCTCGACCATCTTGTCTCTCGGGCGACCATTGCAGCGACAGTAGTTGATTTGTATAACAAGGCGCCTGCGAAACATCATTGATATACTTATTATTCTGATGTAGTCTTGACGCGCTTCTGGCTGTGTAAGCCGCACGCAGTGACATGCACACATTTACTTAACTCAAGATTTCATAGAGAAACCATAATAGACCGGCGACAATGTCAGCATGTTTGGTGGTTTGCAGGTGAGTGGACCTTTGTTACGAAATGTGAATGAGATTAAGGTGTTGTCTAACAGAAGCTTCACATGTGCAGCCAAGTTTCAGGCCATTCGCATGACGGTACAGCGGTCCTTGGGAAACTCGCGGCGCCATGTCTGCACCGTCTGTAAAACACTGTTATGATTGATATCCTTCACAACACCACTGCCGCATATGCCGAACGGTATTGAAATCATCGGCTGCCTGCCGGTAGGCAGCTTGCCATTCCACCCACCAGCAAGGAATGTTGTTTCAGCTTTCCTAACAACCTGGGAATCGCGAACGCCGGCTGACCAGCGTGTTCGGGCGTGTATTTTCCGAAAACGTGCTCAGGCCTACTCGCTGTTGGTTTATTCTTGTTGTGTATGGTTTCGATACTTCTGCGCGAATCACTTCCGCTCAGAGGGATGATGTTGATGGCGGGCTCGTGCGAACATCTTGGCGGCCGGCGTGGCATCGCGACCATGTTTGTCACACCCTCCGCCTCGTTACCTGGCGTCACGTAAAATACCCCCTCCCTCCCCCCGGAGGGTGTGTATCGTCCCAGCTGAGCCGCGCTCCCAGCTAGGGTCGCAGAAGTAGCGTCATTTCCTTTCCTCAACCTCCTCCTCGTCGGCGGCCCCGGGGCGCAGTGGCGGCTCGTTTCTCCCTAGGGCGGCTGCCGGCGCTCCCTAGTTGTCGGGGCGAAAGTTGCCCGTCCGCTTTTGGGGTCAGCCCTCCTCCTTTTCCGGCCTCCTTGGCTGTTTTGCGTGCTTATGCCCCCCCCCCCCCCCCCCACTCGTTGGACGACCGGGAAGGAAGGCGGCAGTGGCCGAGCGACGACGTCGGGGGAGAAGCGCGCTTTCGTAACTGCGCTGCGGCCGCTGGTGGTGGTGTGTGCGTGTGCTACTTCCCGTTTGCCCACCTGTCAGGCCCGTTCTTGTTTTTGTTCTTTTCCGTCGGGCTGCCCTTCCACGTGCCGGCTCCACGCCCAGGTTACGAGCTTCGTCGGACGTAGGAGCCGCCTTTGGTGACTGCCGCCCACCTTTTTCTCAACCTCTGCGTGCCCCCGTGACTGCGCTCCACTCCTGCGAGAAAACAGAGCCACGATCCCGTCGACTGTGGGAGCTGCTTGTTTTTGATCGAGCGAGTCTCCGCAGCTGCGCTGACGTCGACCTAGCGTCAGCGCCGTCTGACTCGGCGCCCCGACAGCAGACGACGCGCTGCCTTCCGTCGAGTCGCCCACCGCCGCCGCCATGGTCCTGCGCTCACAGAACGACTCGAACGGTGCGTGCCTCTTCTACGCTCGTTTTCAGGCTGAGACGGCCGTTAACTTCGCCCCCATATGGACGCTCTGCGCGAGAAGGCCCTGGCCTCTTTCTGCGGCGCGTGCGGTTCTCTCGGGCGGCGCCGTGTACGCAGTGCCTTGTCGCCGAGGCGAGCCGAGAACGGCTCTTGTTTGTACGACGACCGTCGGCTGCGGCCAGTTGCGGCAACGGTGAACGCGTCATCCAGGAAAACTCGTGGTAAAGAACGAAAGCACGCCGCTCATACGCGGCAGCGCAAATAATCGCTGCCAATATCGATGCCACTAGTAATGTTATCTTATACATCGAACTTCCAAAGATCGTGACGGAATTCGCCGATGGTGCTAGTAATTGTTCCAACATTTAATGCACTCGAAACTGTTCTGTTTCGCATACGAGCCGTGGTTTAAATCGGGGCTCGCTCGTGTAGGGTGCGCAGGTTCTCTAGGGCAATCACGCATGCGGAGGTTTAAAGTTGTTTTATGGCGATCAATCCGTCAGTTATTCGCTGCACATCTGTTGTGGTTGATTGTCGCTTGCCTGGGCCATTTAACCCCATGTGCTAAGTTGAATGGTCACATTTTGCGCTTTTCGTTGACGTGGAGGGTAAATTGCAAGGTTTTACATTCAATATAAAGGAGAACTGTTATGTTGTACTTACGATCGTAGAACTTATAAACGTATGTGTCCGCACTCGGCCGTGCGTTGCTATATAGGCCCCGTCGACAGAAGCTATTTTTGTGAAGAAATTTACCGTGATTGTGCGGTTTCATCCAAGTCTCGAGGGGCACACTGTTAGCGGTATGTCGAGAAGAATTTAACCAAATAACAACGGGACCACCCCATTGTTTCGTCACACCAATTACTCGTGCCAGCTCCATAATGTCCCGTTCATAGTGTAAAGAACGTCGCCTTCGTTGAGTGGCTTCTCTGTAGAGGTGTTTCGTCAACGCCGAAGCGTTCCCCTCGCACAGTTAGTGGTCGTGCTGCAGCACCAACAGCGTCAATTGCCGCTTTGGTTAAAAAGTGCTTGCTCTGTAGCTCAGTCGCCAACCCCTGAACCCATCAGACGCGTGCTGTCAGGCTGAGCGAGCAGAAGCGCTACGGGGTGTCGCTAGTACGCCATGGTCGCCAGACCGGTGCAACTGAGCCGTGGGTCGCGCTGCTCGTAGCTCTTCTCCTCGCACCTGTGTGTGCTCCGGTTTTTTCGCTACTCATTTCCTAATGCCGCGAAGGCGACCGTCGCTCATGAACAGCCACGAAAAGCTTGCGGCGGCCCGCTACTGGTTGGTGTGCTCGCCATTCGGAACAGCTGTGTGCGCCGAGCTGTGTCAATCGCGAGGCTTTCTTCTTCGTCGCTGGGGCTGGAAAGTTGAGTGGCCGCCATCCACGACTCGCGCAGCTTGCGCGCGAAAACAGTGCAACCGGGGAAGCCGATGAACGATCGGTCCAGCATTTTGCAGATGGGCCTTTCACCAGCTACATACACACGCCTGACTGTGATTGCCACATCAGAGAGGAGGAGACCTCATGGTGCCAGTTACGCAGCCGTTACTTTCTCACCCCGTTCCACTTCACCTTTATTTATGAATGTGTCCCAAAGTGTATGCTAAAGTGTGGCCAATATTCGCGGGATTTAATACTAGCGTTTACAGTCGTCGATACGGCGAGCGTAATTCATACATCCTTAAATTTGGTTGATTAATTGATTTGTGGGGTTTAACGACGCAAAACTATCATATGATTACGAGAGTCGCCGTAGTGGAGGGCTCCGGAAACTTCGACAAGCCGGGATTCTTAACGTGTGCCCAAATCTGAGCACATGGGCCTACATCATTTTTGCCTCCATCGAAAATGCAGCGCCGCAGCCGGGATTCGATCCCGCCACCGCGGCGGGGTCATCCCTAAATTTGTTGCATACGTTGATGGCGTTATAGAATGCACACCACGTGTTGCTTAAGCAGATATATTCATCTAAGTTACCCTCGTTTTCAGGACATACTTGGAAAATATCTGAATAGGACGGAATCCTGCATCAGCTCGGGCGGAAATGTAGCAGAGTCTGTCAGTACTTATACTGGTCTAGGAGCTTTGCCGTAACTGAGCGTGGTGGGAGAGCTTTGTGCGCTGCTAGCGTAAGCCGCGGGGTGGCGCTGCATCACTGCGCGGAGCGTCGGGCAGACCTGAGGGAAGCGGGCTGCTGGTGCAGTCAATGCATAATATCATGGCGTGCCATCGCGCAGTTTTTCACCGTATTAATAATATCGTGCTTAGTCTGCTGTGCCTGAAGATTGGGAAGGATACCGTATACCCACTGGGTGCCTGGTTGTCGATCCGCGTACAAAATAAGTGATGGAAAGGTCTCCGAGTTATCGCTGCCTACAGTGATCGGCGGGAGAAGTGTGAGCGCGCAATGCCGTGACAAGAAGCTGGTGGTTTCACATTTGTTTCCTCCAATGTGCGCGTGTGAGAAAATCACTTCGGTGAGAGTGACATCGTCCGCGTGGACCAGGAGCTAATGGGAGGCGTTGTTGTCAAGTCACCACGCGACGATCCGAAACATTGGCCGACGCTGTGCCGAGAATTTTCCACGACCTCCTGGCATATTTGTCTAGTGAAAACATATTCAAAAACTTGCCCGCCTACCAAGCGTCGATGGGAACCGTCTGCGAACTGGAGACTGTTGAGGCTGCATCGGACTGTGCATGAATGAGCCCTCTGACGTACTGGCCGCGTCTTCCTCGTTCTATGCCAGTAGGTAATACGGAAGCCGGATAAGTGAAATGCTCACCGTTTTCATTTATACAGGCACTGAGATGACCAAATGTGTAGAGGTGATATGCTGAACAGGTGGAGCTACATGCAGCGCCTCACAGCTTCAAAAAAAATCAAAGCACACATTCGTTGCATGTAACAGAGGCTTCAGCGCTATCAATAGAAGTTTGCCGGAGTGACGACGCAAGAGAGGTTGCACCCCAATGCTGTACAAAACTCGCGCATGCTGTAAAAGCGTGAAAAATTAATTTTCGATATCAATGCGTCATGAGCATGAGAAGATAACTTTTTGTGTCGCATGTATATGCCCGCCTCTGGCGCGGGACGCAGTCAGTCATTTTTTTATGTTAGAGGAGTCATGTAAGTCTTTCTGCACCATTGTCGGCTGTGAAGCATATACGGAAATCAAACATACAAAAATCAATTATATTCACAGACTCGTTAAGCGTCGTAAATGCATTAAGATCCGTTTTCAGATTCAGAAATCCGGTAATAATTGCGCTGTATTCCGTTCTGTGTACAGCGTATATGTCCAACCAGCATGTTACTATTTGCTGGGTTTCTGGCCATAGAAGCATCGAGGGCAATGTGTTAGCTGACCAAATGGCCACGTCAATTACATTGCGCGCTATTAACCCCACAGCTACTGTCCCTGCAACAGATCTAAAACCCTTCCTACGTAAGAAACTGCGAAACCACTGGCAACGCTTGTGGGACACAGAAATAAATAATAAGCTTCACTTGATTAAGCCGCGGTTGGGTTACTGGCCCTCCGCTACAAGAACACGACGAACTGATGTCCTGTTCTGTCGCCTCAGAATAGGACACACTTATGGTACCCATAGCTTTCTGCTGACTGGCGATGAACCTCCTACTTGTGGTAGATGTGGTGAGAGGCTAACCGTCCTCCTGGAGTGCCCGGAAGCTGAAAGTGAGAGAAAGAAATATTTTGCTTTAGCATACCGCTATAATCTTCCTTTACATCCGATTATGTTTCTCGGTGAAGAACCGCTTTTTGATGCAAAATCAGTTTTAAGCTTTTTAAACGATGTAGTATTGAATGTTTTTAGCCCAACAGGTTCATAGCGCATCCTCTGTTTAGAGGATGCCGCTGTGATAGCAGCTTTCAATGAGCCCAGGCCTCCATGCTCTTGTTTTAAGGGCTATGTCGAGGCACTGGTGCTCCATGCCAAGTTTTTACTTCACATACATATCACTTTTGAACCATTTTATGTCTCCATAGCACACAACATTTGTCATTGCCATAATTTTACTATATATATTTTTTTATGCACCTACAGTGACTGTTTTTTAGGCCCATTTACAGCCACGTCACATCTGTTTTATCTACACTGCACATCGCACAGTTCATTATCATCGCTCTGGCGCTCTTTGGCCACATCTGGCCCTTGCGCCAATAAACTCCACTAATCATCATGTAAGTCTTTTACCTTTACAATGAAAACAATAAAAAAGGATAGGTCAAACACAGCATTAATGCACAGCAGAGTAAAGGACCGAGAAACTACATTGCCTAACCATCCAAACTTAGAACGTGCTACGGCACCGTTGTAATAAATTAACGCAAAACAAAACACGAAAACAAGGCAAACGCCATATGAAGTATTGCCTGATCCTCATCACTTGCTGAATTAAAAGCACTTATTTATTCAAAGTGGCTGTTGGCTTAACAAGTGCCAGGTAATTTCAAAATATAAATCTTCGTATACACCGAATGTATATATAGCCTGCAAGGTCGAATATGCACTGTCAAAAGTTGCAACCACTGCACTGCTGCGATGCGTTCAGAGCCACCAGAATCGTTGAAAGACTCTGGATATTACCCCAATTTTCAATAGATGCTTAAGGGGAGGAAATGTGCATGCTTTTATAGCGTATCTTACAGTGGAATCGGCATGCCGTCGAATTTCGTGCTTCAAGGCCTCATTCGACGCTAAATTTCACTGTATTAGTTTCCCCGAATTCACTTGAAGCTAACACCACTCTGAAGACGTATATTCAACCTTAACGGCTACATTTAATAATGTATCACGGCTCCGGTGCGTGCCGTGCAATTTCTATAGTGCCTAGAATATTCTAGGCACTATACAGTTGCAGTGCCGCGGCCGCTCCGATGCCCCGCCGTGGTGGAGGGCGCCCCTAGCGGTTGCTCCGGTCTCTATATCAAACTTTGTGCCGAAGTTT